CTTACTGCAGTACAGTTACAGTAGATTACTGCAGTACAGTTACAGTAGCTCACTGCAGTACAGTTACACTATCTTACTGCAGTACAGTTACAGTAGATTACTGCAGTACAGTTACAGTAGCTCACTGCAGTACAGTTACACTATCTTACTGCAGTACAGTTACAGTAGATTACTGCAGTACAGTTACAGTAGCTCACTGCAGTACAGTTACACTATCTTACTGCAGTACAGTTACAGTAGATTACTGCAGTACAGTTACAGTAGCTCACTGCAGTACAGTTACACTATCTTACTGCAGTACAGTTACAGTAGATTACTGCAGTACAGTTACAGTAGCTCACTGCAGTACAGTTACACTATCTTACTGCAGTACAGTTACAGTAGATTACTGCAGTACAGTTACAGTAGCTCACTGCAGTACAGTTACACTATCTTACTGCAGTACAGTTACAGTAGATTACTGCAGTACAGTTACAGTAGCTCACTGCAGTACAGTTACACTATCTTACTGCAGTACAGTTACAGTAGATTACTGCAGTACAGTTACAGTAGCTCACTGCAGTACAGTTACACTATCTTACTGCAGTACAGTTACAGTAGATTACTGCAGTACAGTTACAGTAGCTCACTGCAGTACAGTTACACTATCTTACTGCAGTACAGTTACAGTAGATTACTGCAGTACAGTTACAGTAGCTCACTGCAGTACAGTTACACTATCTTACTGCAGTACAGTTACAGTAGATTACTGCAGTACAGTTACAGTAGCTCACTGCAGTACAGTTACACTATCTTACTGCAGTACAGTTACAGTAGATTACTGCAGTACAGTTACAGTAGCTCACTGCAGTACAGTTACACTATCTTACTGCAGTACAGTTACAGTAGATTACTGCAGTACAGTTACAGTAGCTCACTGCAGTACAGTTACACTATCTTACTGCAGTACAGTTACAGTAGATTACTGCAGTACAGTTACAGTAGCTCACTGCAGTACAGTTACACTATCTTACTGCAGTACAGTTACAGTAGATTACTGCAGTACAGTTACAGTAGCTCACTGCAGTACAGTTACACTATCTTACTGCAGTACAGTTACAGTAGATTACTGCAGTACAGTTACAGTAGCTCACTGCAGTACAGTTACACTATCTTACTGCAGTACAGTTACAGTAGCTNGTTCTTACAATACACGGTGATTAACAGTTCGGTTCTTACAATACACGGTGATTTAACAGTTCGGTCCCAACAAGCAGTGACTGTCTATCAAAATTTGATTTACTAAACATTCTTTTTCTCGCTTTCTATCTTTGTCACTTTTTGTCGGTGAATGCGTTTTAAATGAAAAGTATAAAGATACAACTCCGCAAGTTAAAAGAGTTTTGAAGTTTAGACCAAAGTATTTGAATTTGAACTAAAGTAACAGAATACATCTCGCCCTGATTAGTTCAGGTTAAATGGAAGCAAGAAAAAAGTTAAATTTAATTTGTTAAAAACGGTTCGAATAAACAGCCTTTCTAGCCATTCGGTCAAAAGACAATTTTTTACGAAATTACTAAAACTACCCCATAGCTTTTTTTTCTTCTATGTAGCTTTTCAAAAATAGAAGCAAGGCTTTAAAACATCTAATATTTAGGACAAACATAAAATTTCCCTTCATTTGACTTGATTTAAACCGGATTGGATAATGAGAGAGAAAGGAGAATCTTACGAAGGTGTAGCTCCGATAGAAAATTATGAAAAAGGGGAGAAAGTATTGAGAAAAACTGTTTAAAAGATAACAGACTCTCCAATCCGGTTTTATAATCCCTTGTCAAACTTATACATTGAAAAGAAATCTTTATTCTTAGAAAATCTGCAGATGCATTTTCTTGTACAAACATGTATTTTTAGCAAAGAAGATACACCAGATACCCCAATATAATGTCCCTATATCTTTGAAATCAAAAATCACAGCGTAGAATCAAAGGTTTTCACCATTAGGATGCAAAGACAGGGATATTTTGATTTTGTGACAAAAACTCAGTTCCTTTGTTAGGGTTACTTTTATTTGTCTACCCTGTCAATATTTAAAAAGACAAACATGCAGTACATTATAACATTACTTGTAAACAATGTGTGTATGATGTAGACGCTTGTTTGTAAACAATATGTGTTTAATTTAGTACGCTTGTTTGTATACAATATGAATGCAGTACGGTTGTTTGTAAACAATATGTGTAAAATGTAGTGTGCTTGTTTGTATAAAATATGTGTATAATGCAGTACGGTTGTTTGTAAACAATATGTGTATTCCTTTGATTTATAAGTTTGTTTGAGAAGGAGCAGGTGTAGGATTCACAGGTGTACAGTCCTAGAATACAAGCAGAANTTTAACCTGCACCTATATTCAGAATATTAAGCCTTTTATTTAATAATATTATTATACCTAGCTTCCAGGGCACTTTGCGCCCATCTTCTATCTCAACTTTTTATTGTTTCACAAAATATTAGCATATTCTTTCCGATAAAACAAAAATTAAAAAAAATTTCACAAATTTACATATTTTTTGTATTTTGGATACAGATTTTTGTAATTCTGAGCATCCATAAACCTTCTCTGGGGTCATGTGAGGCCCCACACAAAATTTAGGCCCAACCAGTGCAGCCATTTTGACGTTTATTGGAGACAAGCAAAGTATACATATAGATGTCATATAATTTCTTTGTTAGTTTTCATGTACAAAAAAGCAAAGTGTCCGCGGCGTTGCCCGTGTCCATTAGGCTTTAAGTAGCGGGGCTGCCCATAGAACAATCGTTCACAGTGGGACTGTCTTTCAATCAGCCTTTTATTTTATTTTTAAAACTCGCACCAACACTGGAAAAAAGCGTCGAAATGAAATGCTGGAAACACCAGCTAACCTAAGTTACCCATTTGGAAAGTATAACATTTTCATTTTTATCACATCTCTATCTATCTATCTAAATATCTATCCAGGCTTCCCAGTATAGTTTTAATAATAATACCGTCAAGAATTTAATAAATCATTGAAAACAGAAGCAAACCTGGTTGTTATCCAGATACATTCAGATACCAGATACCAGATACATGCGTGACTAATAATACCATAAATACCACCCCNCGCCCTCCAGGATCTGGTCAGGATTATATAAATCTTTGGTTTATATCAGCTCTAGGTGAAATCAGAAACTTTCTTTAAAGGGCCTGTTTACGTAATTTCAAGTTACCCTCCTTGCCTGATTCACAACGATACCCTTAATCATTGAATGAGATATCCCTAGTCATCGAGCGGAAAATATATTTTTTAAATTACATGTTGTCTCTACAAAAGTAACAACGTCTGAAACTCATTTTGAAATATGTTTTCGAAATTTGCCAAAGAAATAGCTCAATGACGGCAAAAAAGATTTAGAGAGTGAAAAGAATACGTTATTTACTAAAATATATAATTTCTGTTGTGCCTGAAATTAATAAATATCAAATGTGAAATCACAATTGTTTAAAAATAGGAAACAAAATGAAAGTATAATTAATTAATTTGATAATTGAACATAATTAGCATGCTCATCCTGTATTATTAAATTATTTTAATCTACAAACTATAATTTTTTATTAAAATCAAATAAGATTAAAATATTTTTTTTTCAAAGCACATAAAGATCAACAAATTTTATTATTGTATATCTATAATTTAAATTTATATTCATAATATGTAGACTTTTTAAAAATAGAGTTTCAGCATAAAAAAACCCGTTATCAATACATACTGATTGCAAAATCCACGTTGCATAATGCACAATAAATTTTTTCAAATAATGCGTTCACATTCCCCTGTACAATTATTAGAAGCAAAGTAACATTATATCACACAAATAGATTATCATGTACAATAGGTGGCAACAGAGAAATAGATTATCATGTACAATAGGTGGCAACAGAGAAATAGATTATCATGTACAATAGGTGGCAACAGAGAAATAGATNAGAACAATCTGTTCTTTTACTATATTTTGGTTCTCAACCCAAACTATACTACTGTCCCATGTGGCGTAAACTTCACAAAATCGACAAATCGACATTTTCTAAATTAATTTTAAATAACACATTCAAATCATTAAAAATAATTTAAAAGTTTTAAATTGATAGGGTGAGTAATTTGCGGATTTGCTTAATATATTTTGCGAAGTTTACGGATATAGACCAGGTGTTGTACACTTGGTACCCCCAGGAGGCTAAACTATTGGAAAATCTCATTTTTATTCAATAAAATACTAAGGCGGAAGAAACACCTATTTCTTATTTTCTAAATTTTCTTAAAGACAAATTTGTTTAATTATTGAATTATTGAAATTAATCCTTCTACAGATCGTTAATTGGTGTTAATGTTAATAAAAAACAGCTGAGAAACTATGAAATATATAACAGCTGGTGTCCTAGGCATTTCTGCTGTTAAAAACAGGACAAAATCCCCCCCCCCATCCACCATCTAAACCCAGAAATTTTTTAAAATATCATAATTTTCAAGTTTCTAAACATTCGGGGGAAGATTTTTTTCTTGTTTGTTTTACCCCTGTAAGATGGCAGATTGCAGATGTCCAAATGAATGAAATGGTTCGCAGCTGTGTGTTGTCTGCATCATATAGGACAGCTGACACATTCTACAAACCCAATAGTTCCACATTTTTTATCTTTAATTAATAGACATTAAGACTTGGTATGTTTAAAATATATCATTTGTTTGTGCCACACTTTTAGAATGATGTTGTCATTATTATATTATTATTATTATTATTATTATTATTATTATTATTATTATTATTATTATTATTNAAGTTGAGAGTAGAATTCGGCCGATCCAGTACAAATTATATCCACCAGTCCGTCCTGTAGTCTTGCTCGTTCCGCGCCAAAATAATTCTCCGTATTGTCGATTAGTCGTGCCGTGCCAAGTTTTTTTACTTCATCATAAAACTTTAGTTAGGAACAGACAGTTAGTAAGTGTTAGACGTTCTAGAGATCGGACGACTTGCAGTACACTGTACAGTGCTCTTGTTCTTGTCTTGTCTAAAATAAACAAGGTGAGAATTTTCAGCAATTCTCTGAATTATTATTTGTTATGTAAAAGTGAAATTAGATGCAAATTTCGGGCTTGTTAATTGCTAATGAAAAAAATATTCTCAATTTATTAGAGAAAAGTTAATACAATAGCTTTATGCAATATGCAAAGCAAATTGTAAAAATTGTCCCAACTTAACACTGTGAGAAAAGTTTTCGTGCATTTTTCAGAAAATTGAATTTCATTGTATGACAAGAAATGTCGTGCATGCATATGCCACATATATTTGTTACACATGGTTGATGCTTTTTCATGCATATGTTTTGCTTGCCATGTGTTAATTATATCACACGTATTATGAGCATCATGAAAAGTGTAAATATGGTAACAGATGCGAAATTTTAAACAATGCAAAAAACTGAGGGTGGGATGTAAGTACAAATTTTTTTCCTAAGGAATTAAATTTTGTTGCATTGATTTTTTACCCCCTGTATATAAAGTTTATTATTATGTAATAGAGCCATACATACATGTCATGCTAAGTTAACTGTTTAATATTTATACATCTGTTTATAATTAAAAGTATTAAATAATATGGTGACAATGCATCAAAATACAATTGCATTCATTTCCAGTGATGCATTTTCACTTTTCACATGTTTGCATTATTTTCTTATAATATATTTTAAACATAATTTTTCTTGAAATTTTACAGAAATTTTAGGGGGTGGGACACTGGGAGGTACACCAATTTTAAACAAATATATATGCATGGGGATTTCTAATATGGCTTCCTTAGAGACTGTAAGCGAAATTTCAAGTGACCCTCCATGCAATGATGCCAATACCCGATTTACAATGGTACTATTGAACCCTTGAAACTTTAATCTGATCAAAAATATGGAAAATACCGTCGTTTTATTTACTCAAAAAGTGTTTATTTCTCCATCGCTTCTTATAAGCAAGAAATGCGCAAGTAATTTTCGCAGAGAAACCGCAAAATAAAAATAAACAGTTTAAAGAAACAAAAACACTGATATCTAAATTATACTTGATCAGACAAAGCTTTCTACTGTTGTAAATCGGGTATTGCCATCTTTGCATGGAGGTTCACTTGAAATTTCGCTTACAGTCCCTTTAAAAACTTGAAAAAATTGTTAAAATTAACTTCGAATTGACAAATAATTGCACTACTCATTTATCAAGATTCCCTTAAAAATATAATATCGTAATTTTAACTTTGTTCCTGTTTATGTTTTATATTATTTAAACATATGTTTTCAACTCTTTACATAAAACAATTTTTTATGATTAATTAGTTCATTTTTTCCAATTAACGTTTTAAATTTAAAAAATGGGTAATCTTAGCACTAAGGTCTAAGATATTTGATAAAAAATGACCTTCATCAAATAGTTTTCAAATTCAAGAACAAACATTGAAAAGTGTTCAAATCCGACAACATCTTTCATGGTTTCTAAAGTAGAACCCGCAATTAAAAATTATTAATTTGAAAAGAAAAAACATGGATATCTCAGTGGTTCTTGATCTGACAAACCTTCCGTCTAGAGTAGAGGGTTTAAATAGATCAAATTCAGCAAATATGCAACCAATCTGAAAACTATGATATCCCAGAGAAAGCTAATTGTAACTTAGCTTTACTCCAATTCTAATCTTATATTTGTTATTTCTATTTTTAATAGATTTAATTCATAATATTTTTTATACTTCCGTATTACTTAACCAGAAGTTCCACCAATGGCAGTGCATTAGTGACAGTACAGTGGTCACGTGATACAGGCGGAGACACATGATCAGTATACTGCTCTGCCATTGGTGATAGTTCTGGTCCCGTGATTTAAGTTTAAGATTTTCTAAATCTTACATATATGAACTTTCGTGTAATTTTAACACAGTTTTATATCAATTTCTTGAGACAGGAACATCAGATAAAACTTTCATGGGTCACGATCAAGAGCTAAAGGGATTAGCTTTCAGCCTATACCCACATTCATTTTTCCTTGACAGTCCCTTTAACAGTCTTCTAAAGTTAAACTGTTGAGACCTAAATGCAAAATTAGAAAATGAATTAATATTTATGAAGTGTATCGTTGGACATATCTTATATTTGCTAAACCGGAGAAAAAGTTTTTTTGTTGCATATCCAGTATTTGTGTTCAGAGAGTGTTTGAGAGAGAGAAAGAGAGAACCCCCATCAGAGAAATGTATGGGTCCCTCATATTGTACACTTTTATATAGTTATACATACATTCTTCTTCATTCTTCATTCTTCATTCTTCATTCTTCATTCTTCATTCTTCATTCTTCATCCTTCATTCTTCATTCTTCATTCTTTATTCTTAATTCTTCATTCTTCATTCTTCATTCTTCATTCTTCATTCTTCATTCTTCATTCTTCATTCTTCATTCTTCATTCTTCATTCTTCATTCTTAATTCTTCATTCTTCATTCTTCATTTTTCATTCTCCATTCTCCTTTGTTAAAATGAAAGAATAAATAGTAAATATTTAAAGAAAAGGACTCGATTATATTTACAGATGTTTAAACACCTGCATCCTTGTAACATGTTTTCAATAATGCTTTTTTTTGCAGTTGGTCTTCTCATTCAGTTGTCAGAGGTCATTCAAAGTTTTGTCCTCAAAAAATTATGTAATTTTATCAATTTTTTTACAGTAATGTCTCTACCACAAGCAAAGTTTGTTTAATTTTTCTTCTTTATTTAGAGATAGGAACTTTGTGTAGATATTGTTTATCTTTAATCTTTGATCTCGATATCCAATGTGGACACTTTTGAATTTGAAGATAAATACTTAATCCTTGAATTAAAAATGCTTCTGGTGCAGGGTATAACTATCACTGTATATTGAAGAGGTTAATTAAATTAATCCGTAGAATTAAATTAATCCGTAGAATTAAATTAATCCGTAGAATTAAATTAATCCGTAGAATTAAATTAATCCCCGTAGAATTAAATCCGTAGAATTAAATTAATCCGTAGAATTAAATTAATCCGTAGAATTAAATTAATCCGTAGAATTAAAAAAATCCGTAGAATTAAATTAATCCGTAGAATTGCATCAAATGGAGAGCAATGCTTGATCCCGAGATTCTCAATCACAAAAACTAAAAGTTTTAACTTCAGTTCTTTCATGTAGGTCGTCTTTTTTATTTCAAAGGAGGTCATTTTATAAATTTATTTTAAGGTGGTCGTCTGCTTTATTTATTTCCAAGAGGTTATGTTTATTCTTTAGATATTTATTCTAAGGAGGTCATTTTTATAAACTTCTTTCGAGCAGGTTGTATTTTCAATATTTCTTTAATGGACTGTTAAAGTAAGATGAAAAGGGGTAAACGGTAAAGGCTGAAGCCTAAAACTTTTATGAGTTTATCGCGAACCAAATTAGTTATATGATGTCATTGTGTCTCGAAAAATTGATATAAAACTGTGTCCGAGTTTTACAAAAACTCATAAAAAATGTGATATTTTAGATGGTGAAGCAAGTTCTTTATTTTCTTGAATTCAATGAATACAGAGAACAAAATGTGCAACAAATGAAAGACGATATTTAACTTTTTTTTTTTTTTCCAGATTTCTATGGATAAGGTGAGTATTAAGAAAGAGGCGGATGACGACCTCCCCGATGGAAAATTATACCCAGAGTCAAGAAGACATGAAAACTCTCGACTCTCTAGTTTCCCGCCCACACAAAGAGTTTCTCCAACTGCCACGCCCCTGAGGTCCCTGGCTGGGATAGGGTTTACACCCTCTCTAGTGGACAGGTATTACTATTTTGTGATTTTGTTATGATGCTGTAGACAGTATGGGCACATCTGATTCACAACGGACACTTGTTCAAGGAAACCACGGTTGAAAACTAACAATTTTCAGAGAAAAAAACTAGATTATACGCCTAATGTTGTTATCATGACCTGGGGATAAAAGGGTACCTCCTGGTGAGTTGGGAATACCCCTTTTTGGAAATGGAATGTTACCTTCAACCACAAGTGTTTCAATAAATATATCTCTTACATTTATCTCTATATCTCTTTATCTATATTTATAATAGTCTAGATATCTATCAGATATATAGATTATAATTAGCAGATTCAAATCTTGAAAATACTTGTACGCGTCAAACTTAAAACAATTACACAGATTTTTGCATATATTTATTTAAATTTTTATAATTCAAATATCTCGCATATCTCTTGTTGCTTCGGAATCGTGGTGTTGTTAACTTGTGATACCCGCCCCCAAAAGTCAAAAAAATGTACAAAACCCAAAAAATCTGATTTTTTGATTATATTTTTTTATATTTTTTTTTGTGTTTAGTACAATGAGCTTGAGCCCGCCCGGTCCCTCTGAGTTGTTTGGCTCCCAGAGAACCGTGTTTAAGCTGAAGAGGTTCCTGGGCACCCTCATCAAGTTCGGGACGGATATCTCGGCCCAGGTCGGGGAGAAGGTCAGGGAGATGGTCTTCAACCTCGTCGTAAGTTTTTATTTTATTTTTTAATATGATTTAAATTTTAATGAGATAGTTGCAGACATTTAAAGGAAGATATCTTTTTATTATCTTCGAACTGAGGTTAATTCTGTCATTCTGACAGAGAAACCGTCATTTATAATTGTCAACTTTTAATAGAAAAAAAGGATATCTTTATCATTAAATAAACGGTCGCTTGAAATTCCGTCAACACTCTCTTTTATATTCTATTTCGTCAACAGTCTCTTTAATATTCTATTTCGCCAACAGTCTCTTTAATATTCCATTTCGTCAACAGTCTCTTTAATATCCATTTCGTCAACAGTCTCTTTAATATTCCATTTCGTCAACAGTCTCTTTAATTTTCCATTTCATAAACAGTCTCTTTAATATTCCATTTCGTCAACAGTCTCTTTAATATTCCATTTCGTCCTTCTCTTTCTACTCTTCTCAAAGATTTTGGCCTTTTATTCATCATTTTATTTTACTACACCCTTTCCATGGTTTAACTTTAACATGGTTAGAGCTTTAAGTTTTCTTCTTTTCTTTTCTTGTAAAAATGAAACCAGTTTGTTTCTGAATTGTTAGAATGGAATAAATTACTAGAAGATGTGGGCGTGTGTTTAAACCCTGCGGGCTTGGGGGGGATACGGGCAGACATGGGGGTTATGAAATCTCGCTAAAGTAGGATTTAGAATTTAAAAATTTTAAATTTTAAATTCTTCAAAATTTATTTACGAAAGATATGGAAAATATAAATAACTAAGTTTTAAATCGCATAAGACTTCAAAAATGCGGTCTACAATGTTTGCATTTTAAAATTTGAGTTTTTGTAGTGAATTAGTTGAGTTATCCGTACTTAGTTCTATCTCTGTGTATTTAGGCTGGAGTTGTATCTGTCTCTGAGTTCCATCTTCAGCTCCAGGATGTAACCAACTTCCCTGTCCGACCCTACGTTCTCCCCTTCCTACACACCAATATATCATTCCTTCAGAGGGAGATTGCAAGGTATACATTCTCCCCTTCCTACACACCAATATATCCTTCCTTCAGAGGGAGATTGCAAGGTAGGTTCTCCCCCTTCCTTCACACAAATATATCCTTCCTTCAGAGGGAGATTGCAAGGTATACGTTCTCCCCTTCCTACACACCAATATATCCTTCCTCCAAAGGGAGACTGCAAGATAGGTTCTCCCCCTTCCTTCACACCAATATATCATTCCTTCAGAGGGAGATTGCTATGTAGGTTCTCCCCCTTCATACACACCAATATATCCTTCCTTCAGAGGGAGATTGCAAGGTATACTGTCTCCCCTTCCTACACACCAATATATCCTTCCTTCAGAGGGAGATTGCAAGGTAGGTTCATTTGAAGTACTGTACCAACTTCTATGCAGCTAGACCATGTTGTACAGTATACATGTAGACAAGGGACGGAAAAACGGGACAGTACACCAAATTAATCATCCCCTTCATAGAGAGATTTATGTGCTAAAAGTAACCTTTGCAACTATTAAACAACGGTGAAACTGGTCCGCAAATGTTGTGCAAACAAAAGATGAAACTTTAATGACATTTGAATATAACCAAATGTAAGCTAAATTTAGTTTTCTGTTTTAAACCTTTTTTCTAATGGTAAAACTAAATGATTTGGCAAAGAATGAACAAGTTACATCATGAGAATTCAAAGAGGACTGTACGGAATATGTCAAAATATTGTCCAAACTTTGGTCTCTGAAGTCTCATAGTTTAATGTGGTGTTCTCTTTATCAATCTTAATTACAATCCATGGCTGTTGATTATCTACCTGCCGGTCTGTCTCTACACTTATAACTGTTTACTAATAAATGACGTAATTATCTCCATTTTAGTCTGAGTGGTGGAAGTTGCAAGAGTGTTGTTGAATATCTTCGTCAGCACGAGAATTCTATCCTCCAACCTCCTCCTCCGGATCATGGGATCTCGGAGCCCAGCGATATCTTTCATAGCGAGGCTGTCGAGTCCCATCAGGACCGGAAGCGTCGAACCTCTTCGACTAGCGACAGCGAATCGGCCAATAAACGTACAAAGCCTGGTGGTAGTCTGATCAGTCCGCCATTATTTCAAAATGGCGCATTTCAACGGAAAGACGGACTTCCGCACAAATGGAGTCAGTTCCCTGGGAAGCTGGCCATAGTTCCAGGGTGTCCTAGTTCAGGCAGCGGAGAGGGTAGCACCACCAATTCTAAACCTGAAAACCAGTGCAATGACGACGAGTGGAAAAATGTTCAAGTTGTAAGTTTTTATTTTATTTTTATTTTTTTTCAGATAATTGAACCAACTTTTTATATTAAAAGGAAAATTAGAATCTTGAATTCAAATAATTACTGAGGTCCAAACAAAAACAATCCTTACAACAAACTTGTCAACCCTGTGTTAAACTCGACTTCTGGATTAGAGTTAAATCGAGTTAAATTCAAGATTTTGTCTTTTTTCTATTTTGAACAGTTTTAGCTCTGATAATTCCTTGTTTTCCTGCAGTAGAAATGCGCAAATCACTTTTGTAGAGAGACTACAATTGAAAACAATCCGTTTGCAAAATTATAAACATTGCAATATCTAATTCATACTTGTTCAGACAAAGCTTTTAAGGATACGGTTCTGATTCGGCTATTGCCATCTTGCATGGAAGATCACTTGAAATTACGCTTAAAGTTTAAAATATGATTTGCAGATGTTGAATTGTATTCTTGGGATGGTTGAGAAAACCCAGCGAGCAATCAGCATCCTACAACAACGACAAACCACAGCAGCCACCCTTAGGTCAACCGAGGATATCATTGAAGAAGTTCAAGCATCAGCGGTTCGAGCTGTTAACGAAGTAAAACAGAACGCTCTGTGTGAGATAGCACGTGCCCGCCACGAGGCAATGTTGCTCCGGAAACCAGGGAAGGAGAAGGAAGGATTACTCCGGGTGTCAACTAGTCAAGGAGATACAGCAGAGGTAATGTCAATATCTATATAGGATTAGTAAGGGATAGGCAAACAATTAACGAATGGAAATCTTCGAAAAATAACAGAAAGGAATTAAGTTTCTGCCACAAACTCTGGTTTTTTAATCCCTATATCATTGCAACTTAATGACATAGACCTTAGATAGTTCAAACTATGAATTCTGGAAGATCAAATAATGTAAGTTTGAAATATCAAAGGTCTACACGATCAGATTGCAAAGATATAGACATGAGAAAATTCTAGTTTGTGGCGAAGACCATGAAAGAACGGAAAGAACTGTTCATTTTTTGTCAGGGCTTAATTTATTTCAGTTATCAGATAAATACGAACATTTTATTAGGGCTTAATTTATTTCAGTTTTTAGATAAAAACGAACATTTTTTCAGGGCTTAATTTATTTCAGTTTTTAGATAAAAACGAACATTTTATCAGGGCTTAATTTATTTCAGTTATCAGATACAAACGAACATTTTTTCAGGGCTTAATTTATTTCAGTTATCAGATAAATACGAACATTTTATTAGGGCTTAATTTATTTCAGTTATCAGATACAAACGAACATTTTTTCAGGGCTTAATTTATTTCAGTTATCAGATAAATACGAACATTTTATTAGGGCTTAATTTATTTCAGTTATCAGATACAAACGAACATTTTTTCAGGGCTTAATTTATTTCAGTTTTTAGATAAAAACGAACATTTTATCAGGGCTTAATTTATTTCAGTTATCAAATAAATACGAACATTTTATCAGAGCTTAATTTATTTCAGTTATCAGATAAAAACGAACATTAACAGCCTGTTCATTTTCTTAAAGTTTCTAATCTCTTTAAGCTTCTATCTCTTAAAGCTCCTATCTCTTTAAGCTCCTATCTCTTTAAGCTCCTATCTCTTTAAGCTCCTATCTCTTTAAGCTCCTATCTCTTTAAGCTCCTATCTCTTTAAGCTCCTATCCTTTAAGCTCCTATCTCTTTGCAATGCAACTTTTAAAATTCCAAACGCTGGACATTTTTTTTGTTCATCTTAGCTGTACAAACAAATCCTCGAATTGTTTTCAAAAATCCACGGAGCGAAATTATCAATTTTCAGAGAGAGAAAAACCATAAAGAAATCTACATAATATAGTTTTCTAAGGACACTTTTTGATAATATTCAATTTCGTGCACTATCCCTTACAAGAATGTATTTTATGTACATTTTGCATCTATTTACAAAAAATGTTAACATGGTTAAATTGATCTTGATTATCAAATCAGATCTCTGCAGACTTGTAAAAGTTCGCAATATCATGTGTAACACATTTAAATCAGCTGCAAAAAACATTTGATAATCTAGTTTTTATCTTAATTTGATAATCGGCAGTATTTAAACTTTAAACAGGGTTCAATGTTAAATAAACATGTTGCAAAGAATCACAAAAAAAGATGTTGAAATTTAAAAAAAACATTGATTCTTTGCTAGCTCAGGGTAATGCTATGTTCATATATACTAGCTTCTATATAATAGCTTGGGAACCCAGCTGTGATTGGAATTTTTCCAAAGTCAACCCACTCAGCCTTGAACTTTTAAACCAGACCAAGAACAGTGGTTCTACTGATATTCCCAATACAAATTTGAGGCAAATCGGTCAAGGGAGTCATAAGGTACGATCCAGCAGAGGTTACTTCTTTGTATAAATATATTAAGTTGTAATCTCTGTTTGTATGTTTGATCATAACTCAGGAACCCCTCGACAGATTAGTCTCAAATTTTGATTCGGGACTCGGTAAATTCACGGGAATATTCCTAATTTGGTTTGAAAATTCTAAGTTGAGCGGGTTGACATTTATAGCGAAAGTTTAAGTTTCAGGCAAAGCTGGGTTCCCAAGCTAATTTCTATATATTTTTTCCTTACAATTAAGCGATAAGCATATTATATTATTTACATTACATTACATTTACAATATTATTTCAATAATCTTGGCTAATTCTAAAAATCTTTCGATGCATTCGATGATTTGCAAAATATGTAAATGAATAAAAATAAATCATGCATTACTTGCAAATATTTAAACAGCTTATACCTGCAAAAACTAAAAAGTTTACTGTAAAGATTATCTATATCTATATATGTATATATATATATATATNGTAAATAGTATTCAAGTAAAATGTCCTCTTGAGATTTCAAGAGATTAGACGGAGAAAAGTAGAGAGGGTGCAAATAGTATTCAAGTAAAATGTCTATGGAAGCAGGTGTCAGAACAGACCTAAACATATCGTTCGTAATCTCTTTTATATAAAGATCTAAATATTTATATAGATTATGTTTTTACATTATATTACATGTGATTACATGTTGAAGTTTACAGGAGATACTTTTTTATTTGCAGAGTCTAGTTGTTTGAAACTAAGGTTTCAGGTTAGGGATTATAGATATAATTTCGTAGTTGTTTAAAGGGAGTGACCGGCAATGAAAGGTAGTTGAACTGAGTATGCAGTGTTGTGGAAAACTTCTTTTGGATTTATTTGAGACATATTTAACTTTTAAAGATCTGAAAATCCTGAGTTTGAGCGCAAATTCGACGTTCAAAACTCCTACTTTGGGGGTGGTACGTTTTCGGAATTAGTTTATTTAAATTATTAAATAACGACGACATAAAATGTAAAAAAGTTCTGCAATTAACTACAGACGTCATGTATAGACACATGTTGAGAAAATAAAAATTAATCTTATCATCGAAAGTAAGTAATCTTGCTCAATTATTAGTTTCTATTATCACATTATTCCGGTTTCTCATTATTCACAAAGATTTTCTGCAGATCTTCTAGAATTAATATGAAGAGAAGACATTTGAAGAATTTGAAGAAATATGCGAATAAATTCAAAGAAAATAAGAAATTCAATATAATAATGAAAACGAAATAATCGATTTCAGCATTGATTTATTGGCAAATTTCTTTCGAGAAATATGTTCCTAACCATCTAATTAGATTACTGTATAATTTTTACTTTATTTTTCGTTGTCGTTATTTAATAATTAAAAAAAAACTAATTACATAGCCGGTCACTCCCTTTAACACAAAAGTTTTAGCTTTAAAGTAGTTGTAATATCTTAATAACGCTTTGTTAGGAATATCTTACGTATTTTTATATTTCTAACATTATGTATTTTCGAATCGGTAAGTTCTATGAGGATGGAGAAAATCTACAGGTAAAATAATTTACGTGCTTTCTAAATTAACCCCNGATAACTCTGATAACTCTGATAACCCTAATAACTCTGATAACCCTAATAACTCTGATAACTCTAATAACTCTGATAACTCTTAAAACACTGACAACTTTGTTAACTCTGATAACTCTCATAACACTGACAACTGTGATAACTGTTATAACTCTAATAACTCGAATAACTCTGACAACTCTGACAACTCTAATAACTCTTATTACACTGACAACTCGTATAGCTCTGAAAACTCTGATAACTCTGACAACTCTGAAAACTCTGATAACTCCAATAACTCTGATAACTGGGATAACTCTGATAACTCTGATAACTCTGATAACTCTGATAATTTTGATAACTCTGATAACTCTGATAACTCTGATAATTTTAATAACTCTGATAACTCCAATAACTCTGATAACTGTAATAACTCTGATAACTTGAATAACTATGATAACTTTGATAAATCTAATAACTCTGATAACTCTGATAACGCTGATAACTCTGATAACTCTAATAACTATGATAGCTTAGATAAATCTAATAAATCTGATAACTCCAATAACTCTGATAACTCTGATAATTCTAATAACTCTGATAACGCTGATAAGTGATAACTCTGATACCTCTGATTTAGTTTATAGGATGTAAATAGTATGTACACTGCATGAAACGAAATTCTTCATTGTGTTGAGATGAAAGAGGTCAGCTTTGGATGGGGGGGGGGAACATATCGTTCGTAATCTCTTTTATATAAAGATCTAAATATTTATATTTAGGTGTAAAGGAACAGATAAAGATTAAGCTGACCGATAATATGGTCAGGTGACTTTAACGAAATATATATATTTGTAGGTTCAGTTTTCAAAGATAAGGGGGTTATTACTATATTTATTACACGAGAATGATATTAAATTAAGATTAAATCCAATTTACGAAGCTTTACTTCCCATCAATATTTTAAATATTTTTTATTTATACTAGAAAATTATTTATGATGACAATCAACTGACATTTAAAAAAGTTTCTAAATATAAAGTTTAAAGGTTTACATTTAAGCACCTGTATATAAAATGAAGTGTAAAGATGTGCACCGTTTTTGGGGTTTATTTTTAACATTAAAAATTTTGCTTTTTTAAAGGGAATGTTGTAGTAATTTCACATGAATTTCCATTCATATAATGGCATGTCATATTCTCAATGATACCCTTGAAACCTTTATCTGATCAATAATGTGAAGGATAACGTAGATTGTTTTGGCTTGAAACTTGTTTACTTCTGCATTTTCTACCAAGGGTATAAAAACTTTTAAAAACGTAATAAAAACAAACTTTAATTTAGTTTTTACTAGGATAAGCATTTCAACTTCTTGTACAGCATATTATAGATTTAAAAAAATTAGTTTGAATGATGCACATTTCTGATTGTATACAGAATTGTAACTATAGTTAGGCCAGCTATTATGTATAAAATGTCTGTTTTCATTTCCACTTGTTCAAACCAACTGTGTAATGCAAGTGTTAAAAATAAACAATTTTAATGAAATATTTGCTATACTAGTATAATGTATGGAATAAGGGAATAGGTTCAATTAAAAAAAAGGAATTGAGTCTTTGTCATAAACTCTGATATTCTAATACCTATATCTATGCAATCCAATTTCGTAGACGTTAGATATTTCAAACTATGAATTCTGTTAGATCAAATAGCCTAAGTTTTAAATATCAAGGGTTTCCACCATTAGGTTGCCAAGATATAAGGATTAGAAAATTTGAGTTTGTGGCAAAAACTCAATTCCTTTCATGTTTGATAAGAATAAAAATGTTTGAATTTCTTGCATGAAATTTTAAACCCATAAATTCAGTGTGCTTCGCGGCCGAACCAATTTTAGACAATGATAAAACTTATATGGGTTCAAGTCAAAATTAATACAAGAAATTTTTAGCTTTCACACTATGATATTTGTCATATCCGACTGTATGTCTACATATCTGTTTGTATTATGTATGTTTCTTTCTTTATGCATTATATCAGCTTTGTAGATCTATTTTTCCGTACAACTACCTGTCTGTATAACCTTTAGATATACATATGTAGCAAAAATTGAGGCCTATTGTAATTTACGTCGTATCTTGTTCATTTAGGAATTACGCAAACTCTGTATTAGGATTAACCCATCCCATATAAGATATATATTTATAACTCCGTCATACCCATATTATGATTGTTGACTACGTTATAGATATAACAGCTCATAGCTTGTAATTATGTTGTTAATAACCCATTTCTAAAATGAACTACGAAAAAAACCTCAGTTGATTGAGACTCTGCTTTCTAATTGAGATCGTGCCTTGATAATTGGCATTGATCTATTTGATTGCTAGTGTCTGTATTGACATCGATAGCTAACCAGATGCACCCTTTGTAGTGGCGTTGATTAGTCACAGGATTGTAGCCGTGTTGATTGTGTTCTGGTGGAGACATTGATCAATTGATTACTAGTGTTCGCATTGACACTGATAGTTACGCTTGTGTCCTTGTGTGGCATTTTAAGCCTGGGATTCAGTCCTGGTTGAGTTTGATATCGGATGGACAGTACCTGGATAGATACGTCTTTAGAAATTGTTATGGAGTAGGTGTTTATTACACATATACGCAAATTAGAAATATATTTACAGTTTTTATATGTCTTTAATGTATAATATCTAAAAGGTTACCCATAAAAGATGATACTGTAATGACGACCTTAAATAAGAACAACTTTAAGCTGAATTGCCCAGCGTTGCCCGTAAATTTTTTTTTAAATTAAAATTTTTTAACCTACATTTCACCCCCAGGATTCCCTCAATAATGATCGGCCATTTTGGTCCAGACCAGCCGTTTGGCAGCTGTGCCAGCATATATACATACTCACATATATATATATATATAAAGTAGTAATCTCTGTTTGTTTGTTTGAATGTCTGATCATAACTCATGAACCCCATGACCGATTTGCCTCAAATTTTGAGTGGGAAACTCTGTAGAACCACGGAAATGTTCTTAGTTAGATTTAAAAGCTCTTAGTTGAAAAGATTGACTCTTAAAAAGAAACCATTGATTCAAGACAAAGCTGGGTTCCCGAGCTAGTTCATTATTCATTATCATATATATATCTAGATCTGCTGGAACTGTGGTAGATCTGCTTCAGAGACCTGCTCTGGATGCAAGGTTGCCAAGTATTGCGGAGCGTTCTGTCAACACAAAGATTGGGAGAACCATCACAGGGTGTGCAGGGTTCAGGAGGAAATATCTTCTCATAATCTTGAACTCATCTCTAGCAAACCAGATAACAGCAAGGAGAGCAAATAGATCTGAAAAAATCCAAGATCCACTAAAATCCGGGAAATTTTTATTTGGTTTTGATCTTTTTGATCTTTTTGAAGATGTAAGACGACATTCGGTGAATTACGATTTCGCACGCTGTGATTGTAAAAATAGGTGCAAGGACACGTGTTTTAGTTAATTTCAAGCATAAAAATATCTGTTTGAGCTTTGCATCTATTTCAGCAATAAGGTTTTTTCATTTCTATTTGTTATACTTGAAATCTTTAATGCATTCAACGGCATAGTGGAGGTTAAGCCTAGAGAAGCAAAATTTGGCGCGCATTCCATTCAAATTATATGGCCTTATAATTAACAAAAAATAATTGAAAGTCTTGGTTTGTTTGCAACAAATATATTTACTATTTCCTCACTCTAAACCTGGTTCAGGATGTCGGAGTGCATGTGCATCCTGGCCAGGTTGCACTGCACACCTCCCGCTCCCCACTGAGAGACTGAAATGGAATTTAAATGAAACCCCGCGAAAAAAATATTGTAAATAAGATTAAGGTACAAAAAAGAATTTGAGAAATAAAATGAACAAATTATGACATTGTCAAATGTCAATTGATAAGAAAAGAAAAAATCTGAATATTTATTTAAGTTTAATTAATTAGAGCCTGCCTCTGGCTCTAGGGGGGGGGGGCCCAGGGGTGAATGTCTAGGGGGTGCACAGGGGTACCACCCCTCTCCACTATGCCCCTGAATCTCTTTTTCTCTTTAAGAACTTGTAATCCTTCTACCCCTGCCCCTGATTATTTCTTTAAAAATGTTTAATCGTTAAAAAATCGTTGTAACTGTAAAGTGTAACTAGTAAGTTGTTACCCCTTGTCATAATGTGTTACCTTAGAAACGTACATGCAAGTATGTACAGTACGTGCAAGTTGTGTACAAGCTAGGCCAGCATGTACAAAATCTATGTTCATGCACAGGATTGTAAAGCATAATTGTACGTTTTTGCACTTTTAGAAATTAGAAAAATTTGAAACTTTAAAATTTCCAGATTTTAGAGCAACAAAATTACGAATTTTATATTTGAGAAAGGAGCTGAAACCTAAGAAGTTATATTTTATAAATAAATCCAAATAGAGTATCAAGTACAATAGGTGGCAACAGAGAAATGAACCAATTATACACAACGTCACAAGTGTCAAATATAACAAGAAAAACGAAATTGTCTCACGTTAGTTGACATGTTTACCAAGATTAAATAAAAAAGTGTAAAAACAGAAACTAAAGAACACATAAAATTGCACTTATTTTACTGTAAAAAAAGCTCTTTATTCTAAAATTTTCACTATTATTGATAATTTTGTCAGACACACAAACTGAATTGACACTTGTGACGACAGAATACAACATGCAACTTTTAAAATTCCAAACGCTGGACATTTATTATTATTATTATTATTATTATTAATATTATTATCATCATCATTGTATTAGTTATCTGCTCATTGTATTTTATCATCTCCTGATATAAATAATTTGAAAATAAATTTGTTATTCCTATTTGTTGGTGTATACACCTGTATAGTTTAATTTACAGGATACAACAATGGATACAATGATAGAAACTAATTAGCTTGTTTTATATTCAACTAGGTTAAACACATGTCACAAGTTCATGTTAATCATTTTAAACACTTTAATCTGTTAATCACTCATCATTACTCAGCCTTCAAAGGAGTCGAATCTTATCCTGTTCTTATCCTCATATCTTTGCAACTAGATGTTGTAGACCTTTATTATTTCAAACTATAAATTCTGTTTGTTCAAATATTCCAAGTTTAAAATATAAAAGTTTTACGCCATTATGTTGTAAAAATATAGGGATTAAAAAAATACATTTTGTGGCATAGACTTAATTATTTTAAAATTTGTTCACTTTGACATTCAATTTAATTTTTTTCTAAAAATATTGATTTACTTTGCTTAAACTTAGCTAATTTTATTTTAATAAAGACTTTAAATAAGTTTTCTGAATAGTTAATTAGCTATAGGTCAGTCCATTTGAAATCACTTTTTTCAGTAGGCACCATCTTCGATATTTTTCAAACTCTAAATATAAAAAGACCTATTTGAGACATTACATGATCAGTAATTTTTAGAAGTTGGTGCCTACTAGGGGGTGGCTGATTTCATATGGACTGACCCAGGTGTGACCTTCGATCACGTACTATTTAAACTATTGAACAAATTTTCGCTTTTTTAAAATACTTTTTTGGCGGTAAATGCGTTAAAAAAAAGTAAAAAAACAACTCTGTAAGTTTAAAAATTGTTGAATTATTATATTTTATTATTATATTATATTATTATAGACCAAAACACGATTAAATTACGTCAATAAACAAAACAACTTAACAAAAAGATTAAGATAAAAGATACAAGTGTAATAAATGACTTAAATATTTCTCTTCATAATATATATTAATTATATAAACTCTATATTAATTTCGCCCTGTCAGTAAATAACTCCTTTTTAATATCACCCTTTAAGTAATTAACTACATATTAATATCACCCTTTCAGTAAATAACTCCATACTAATATCACCCTGTAAGTAATTAACTCCATATTAATATCACCCTGTAAGTAATTAACTACATATTAATATCACCCTGTCGGCTGTCAGTAATTAACTCCATATTGATATCACCCTGCAAGTAACTGACTCCGTTTTAATATTTTAATAAATAACTCCTTTTTAACATCACCCTGTAAGTAATTAACTACCTATTAATATCACTCTGTCGGCTGTCAGTAATTAACTCCATATAAATATCACCCTGTCAGTAAATAACTCCATACTAATATCACCCTGTAAGTAATTAACTCCATAATAATATCACCCTGTAAGTAATTAACTCCATATTAATATCACCCTGTAAGTAAATAACTCCATATTAATATCACCCTGTAAGTAGTTAACTCCATATCAATATCACCCTGTCAGTAATTAACTCCATACTAATATCACCCTGTCAGTAATTAACTCCATAATTATATCGCCCTGTAAATAATTAACTCCATATTAATATCACCCTGTAAGTAATTAACTCCATATTAATATCACCCTATAAGTAAATAACTCCATATTAATATCACCCTGTAAGTAAATAACTCCATATTAATATCACCCTGTAAGTAACTGACTCCATATTAATATCACCCTGTAAGTAATTAACTCCATATTAATATTGCCCTGTAAGTAAAAAATCCATATAAATACCACCCTGTAAATAACTAAATACTAATATCAAAAATCGTACTGTAAAAAATTCATACCGATATCACCCTGTAAGTAAACATGACCCTGTACAGATGTGTAACCCCTGATCACATAAAGAATCAGGAATGGCTCCGACTCCGGCATTCCCTCCATGTGTGGTCGGAGAAATTATTTAATAAAGAACCGGAGAATCCACTCCGAGAGAACATGATTTCCATCTGGACCCGGGGTCTTAAACTATCTTAAACTATCTTAAATACTAGAACCAGAGTTGGGAACTTTTCTGTTGGATGCTCATAATTCCGATCCACAGATCTTGATATCCACTGTAGATGCTTTTAATTTGAGGATCTAAAAAGTAAACTTTTCCATATCTTCATTTTAGTTATTCATTCCCTTAAGCATATCTCCCTTCCTGGTTCTTAAACTATCTTAAAATGTCTTAAATTCTAGAACATGGTTCTTAAACCATCTTAAACTGTCTTAAATTCTAGATACATGGTTCTTAAACCACCTTAAACTGTCTTAAATCCTAGAACATATTGTTTAACTAAGATTTCAGCTTTAAAGGTAATGTCATCATTGATAAAGAAAAGATTAAGGGTTCTGCACACAGACTACACAGACTTACAACACCCCATCCTGAAATCATTCCCTGCTCTGATCAATTTCCCATGATCATAGAAACCAGGAAGCACGCGTGGGTCACTGTTAAGAGGAGAGTTGCAAAGATAGCCAAACCAATCCAGATTCATGAGAAAGTCTCAAAGATAGCCTAACATCAGATCACCGGATGAACTCCAATTGTGGAAGGATCTTAATAGTTTTCCAAGCTATATGAAATCCTCTAACCAGAAGATGATGAACTTGTTGTGCTTCATGGAGGAATGTTCTCTCTTGGTTCGAGTAATATGCTGGGCAGGGTCTTCAACATGGACGGAATCCTTAGCAATGTGCAAACTAGAGGAACAGATTTGATAAATGATCTCAACCCCTTGGGATTTGTCTCAAGGGAGTTCTTGTTGATCAAGGAGTTTATTCTGATATCCTGTATTTTATACGTCCTGATGTTTGATCTACCACCTTCTGTCACTGCTCTCATCAATAGGATCATATTAGACTGGGGCCGACTTCAGAACAGGAAGAAACCTCCAGCTGAAGTAATGAGGATGAGAGCATTGTCAGCTAATGAGGATGCTCTATGAAAATAAGGGATGGCTAGCCCTATTGTTCAAGCACTCCCTTCCCCCCATTTTGTAATAAATATCTTGTAACCCTATATCTGTAAACCTGAAATATGTTGTACATTATTAATTAATCATTTGTAAATAGCTATGTAAAACCTATATAATGATTTATCTTTACTGGGCTGTAAATAACTTTGTAACATGATTAGCTTAGTTATGTTTGTATATAACGACATAAAACTTGTAATTGCATTTATTAACTTAACTTGTAACATAGAACCCAAAATACCTTCAGTTGGAATTAGACTCCGCATTGATTACAGTGTGTGGGTAATTGTTTCTTGGTTTGCCCACGAGAAGCGTCCTGAATCACTTTCTTGAAAGATAGATATAGATTAGGAATCGATACAGAAAAAGTTGTGTCCAGATTGACATTGATAGTAAAGTATTGTTGAACTGATTAGTTCTTATGCCTCACCGATCATAGCGATAGGGCTTGAGTATTGATACAGAAACTAAACCAATCCAGCCCAATTTTTTGTTGGACCTCACATGACTCCAGGGAAGGTTTAAGGAAATTGCAAAAATTTGTGTCCAAAAGTTTTTTCTTATTGTTTTATATTTGTAAAAAGAGTAAATGCTCAAAATTAAAAATTGAAAGCCTAGTGAAAATAACAAGGAAATGATCGAAGATTCATATAGGACAGGAATTGCGTTTAGAATTGTATTTCAAAACATAATTACCATGATTTTTTGTTCTTCAATACTATGTATGGAATATGTAAAAAGAATTTAATTTAATGTTATAAATTCAGTTGTAAAAATACCAACTAATATATTTATAAACTTGATGATCTAAAATATAGTTTTTATGTTTAGAAGATTTACATGGAATATGGCTAAATGAATATATATTATAGATTTTGATTTCTTACTGTTTTATCTATGTTTCTTACCCCTCGTTTTAACAGACTTCTATGAAGGTGCAGTCGGTGTAGACTATAGAGTCACAGTTTACGCAGATAGGACAAGACAATTAGTGACAACATCTATGAAGACAAATTACTCCATATGTATGTATATATGTATCACATAGATTTAGCCTGCTTATAAAAAGTCTCAT